ATATGTATATATATATATATATGTATATGTATATATAATACATAATAAAGATATAAGTATTAGGACTAATTTAAATTTTTTTATTTTTTTATTAGTGACTATTTACTTACTCAATAAGTATATTATTTGCTAATAAATTTTGTTAGATTAAATTTAAATTAATTAAAATTTAATATTCATTAATCAATTATTGATTAGTCATGTATTAATTTAATATTTAATTTTTTCTTTTTTTTTTGTATGCCTTCTTCTATTCACTTGAAGGTATGTTAATGATATGACGGCAAAACATTGAAGTTTAGGAATTAAAAATGATCATATTTAATCTGCATTCAGTGCTTTTCTTAAAGGAGATATCTCTTTTGCTTATAAACAAGATTTCTCACTTGTGAGTACTCTATAATTCAATTTTTAATAGTTTTGAATAATCAGTTAGATCAATTTTGTGTCTATAGATGAGCTATCTGTTGAGTTTTGGAGCCCGGTCCGACTGTTCCTGCAAATCGCGAAATGTCGCGACTACTCCCGCTACTCTTGTTCGCGAACCGCTCCCGCCAACTCCCGCTGACGTTCGCAAATCATCGTGCCTCCCTCCCTATTCGCGATAAAAGGCATCGCACGACTCCTTTAGTTTCTAGGCACAATCTTTTTTTTCTCAGGATAGAGGAAGAGAAGTGCAAGCAGTAGTTCTTTGCAGCAGAAGGAAGGAAGAAGAAAGAAGAAGAAGGTTTTTTTCCCTTGACTTCTTCTAGGTGGCTTATGGTAGAAGAGAAATTGAGTTTATTTCTCTCATAAGTTTATCTTTTTCGGTGTATCTCGGTGTAGAGAGAGAAGAAGAGAGAGCAAGGAAGTGAGAGATCCCTCTTGTAAGTCGAGACGATCGACTGGTATATATTCCTCAAATAGTAAAATCTTCTACAACTCTGTGAACGTATGCAATTTGTCGAATCACATAAATTTGTGTTCCGTTGTGTTACTGTTTTCTGGTGTGAATTTTCTCATTCTATTTTTCGTTTCGTCAAAGATCGTTCTTCTGTTTTATTTATATATAACATAACATCTGGTATCAGAGCCCGTTGTTTCATATGTGAGGAAGACAAGGTTTCAGGAATCGAGAAATTTGATGACATAGATTTTAGTTACCTCTATGAAAATAAAATTCATCTTCCGTTATTGGGGAAAAGACCTGAAAGGATTGATGAGATTGAATGAAATTTATTGAATCAACAAGTTTTGAGGGTTATTCGATTGACTCTATCGAGGTTCGTTGTACACAACGTCGTTAAGAACAGGACGACTGCAGATCTCATGACAGTCTTATCTGGTATGTATGAAAAGTCATCGGTGAATAATAATGTGTTTTTGATTAAAAAATTATTTAATTTGAAGATCGTGGAAGGTGTTTCTGTTGCTCAACACCTAAATGATTTCAATACTATCACAAATCAATTATCGTCTTTTGAAATTGATTTTGAAGATGAGATACATGCGCTGATATTATTGGCATCGTTGTTAAATAGTTGGGAAGCCAAGAGGATGGTAGTTACCAATTCTGCAGATAAATCTAAACTGAAAAAATGATGGCATTCGTGATTTGATTTTGGTCGAGTGATCTGACTTTTTTGTTGCGATAGATTGTGTAAAAATTAATTAAATATAATCCATTAATATTAAGATTCTACACAATTATATGTATCATTATCAAGTAATAATGAAATTTCTATTTAAGCCCCAAATATCGATCCTATGATGAATGTTTAAATTAGAAATGACAAATTTGCTTGGAAATTCATAAAAAGTCAATTGAAATCACTGCGTCACTGTCACTAATTTCAATTGTTGAGATGTAATCAAAATTAAATTTCTAAACTATTATCAAATTAAATATGTAAAATTTAAAATAGCAAATACTAATCTATTAACTATGTATATATAACAGAGATTCTTAAGTGAAAAAACATCATTCCCACTACAATAAGGCTATGGCTATGGTAAAATGAGATAAGATAAATATTCATAATATGTATTGTGTCAAATAGGAGCAATTTTAATTCTCTACCTTAATATAGTGCATAGAAAAATCATTGATTAATCTCAGTGTTTAGTCCCTAAATATGTGGTTAGGCTACGAGGATACCGGCTCCCACTCCAGAGCTCCCACTTCCCTTCACCTGAAGACTAGCTCTCGCTTCAGTTTTTAAATACTAAGACTGAATTGAAGATTTTAGTCTGTCGCCCTGAAGGTTCTCCAATTTTACACCCAACAAAGAATATTTTCTTGTTTATTTGCACTTAATTCCATAAACGATGTTCTCCTTTATGGAATGGAATCAAATGTGAACTCAATTGTAGAACTCATACTCCATTTCCCGGAT